CCATTCCGTCCCGATAGTCAACCCCCCTGACGACGCTGATCGAAACCCGTCTGTGTTTCACCAAACGACCCCAGATCCCTCCCCCGCAGCACGCAGCACTCGCATCAGCAGCGTGTCGCTCATCCCCCTCGTCGGGTCACAGCGAGTATCCGTACTGTACTGCACTGCACCTCTGCAGGACTCAGTTAACCGCCGTTCGTCTGAACAGAGCCAGGGCCACAGAGGAGAGGTAGACATCCCAGAAACGAAAGGCCACAGAGCCAGCCGTACGTCGACCTCGCAGTCCCAAGGACACGAAGACGACCAGGCGCCCCCTTTTTGAACCCCTCGGGCCACTCGCTACTTTTGCTTTTCGACCTGCCATTGTCCGTGAATGGCATAGCGCTGCATGCCGGGAAACAGAGACAGCTTCCGTCAAATCACCTCTTCGTACCTCCCTAAGCCATCGGCGACACCCTAGCAAGCATTCAACAAGCCTCGCCCACCAGCGAATCCAACAGACGCAGACGCAGGCGCGGACGCGGACGCGGACGCGGACCTCGACAGACAGACGCCCAACCAGACAGAGCACCCCCATCCCCATCCCGTCGCATCCTAGACAGCTGACAGACGAGCTGCCGCTGGGATTGACTTGTGTGCACAGCCCCAAGGAAGCCCCTCCACGCTCCCCCTCCCCTCCAAGGGCCCCAGGGAACCCAGCACGGCATCCGCTTCTGCAGCCGGCGTAGCCAATCCAGTCGGAGCCGTCTGGTTCTGCCTGCTGCTCTCGCCGCTGGCGGGCTGGGACTATCTTCGTTTTGGCGGGCACAGGACGACACCACGTATCCAATCCGTACGGACGTTTGATTGAAGTGAGTGAGAAGTGGACAGACTCGACAGGGTCGCCAGACGCAGACGCGCAAAAAATAGGAACAGGGACCAGCTGGCCGGGCTGGTCAATCTCCAATCTCTCCCCGTCCTGTCATCCATCGGCCATCCTCTTGCTTTCCCTTTCCTGCTTGCTGCCGCTCCGCCGCGCTGCTTGCCTGCTTCTGCTGCTGCCGCTCCTTTCGCTCGCCCGCCCGCCCGTCTGCTTGCTTGTCTTGTCGCTGCTTGCTTGCTTCTGTCAACTCTGGGAAACTTGGAACTGACTGACTGGCTTGGGTGACTGGTAGACAGAGGGACAGAAAGTGAGAAAAGACCCCACGCGGAAGAAACAAGAGAAAAGAAAGAAGCAAGAGGCCGAAGAAGACGGAAGCCAAAGACAGTGAGAGCAGAGCTGAGCTTGTCACTCACACTCAGAGCAAGAGAGTGAGAGTGAGAGAAAGCTCCATTCATTCCCCTCCTCCTCATCCTCCACCCCCCGTCTCCCGTTCCCGTCTTGTGTGTGTGTTTCTGCTGCTCATTGTCAGTCAACACACATACAGACAGACACACATACACGGGCTGTGCCGTATTGCCTGCTCTGCGTGGTTTATTTTATTTTATTTTATATTACTATTATTTTGTTTACCTGCCGGCTTGCTGCTTGACGGGGACTCGCAGACTGCGACTGGACTTGCGACTGACACAGCCAGCGTCTATCCCGTCTGCATTCGGTTTGCATTGGCACAGACAGGCCAGGGTAATCTTACCAACGAAAAGGAAGAAAACCTGCCCATCCATTCGCACGTCTCTGTCCAGGTTGCGGCGGCTGCGCACGACGACATATCGCAATTATAATGCCGAGCTTCGGTCGCATTGGGAGGCACAACAACCGCTCGCAACAAGCACTTGTCGAGCCGGTTGGCGGTGCCCCTTCAGCAGGCAACTCACCTACGCCATTATCTGCTGTGCCCGCCGCGCTGTCGGGTGCTGGTGGTCAAGTTCCCCTTCCTCCTTCAGGCCACTCTCAGTCTCACCCTCAAGGCCAAGGTCACGGCCACGGTCTCTCAATCTCCCACTCGCTGGCTCCTGCGCCCGCGCCTACCTCTTCGTCGACCACTCCCACCACCACCAACACCACTACTGGCGGCGCTAATAACCCAATTACCCCCCATTCAGCCTCGTCGACCGCCTTCAGCTCCATCGAGTCCTTTGACACCCAACACCAGCTGCAACATCAGCAGCAACAATTCCAAAATCTTCAACAGCAGCAACAGCTCCAGCATCAGCAGCATCAGCAAGGGCAGCAAGGGCCTCCTCCACCGCCCCACGATTATCCTGCCTCTGCCTCGCCCGCCGCAGCTGCTGCCTCACGCAACTCCCTCCTCTTGCAGCACAACCCACTGCCACCCGCCGATTCGCGCCAGAGGGGCCCAGGTCAGCAGCAGGAATTCGCCGACTCCGTCTCCCGCTCCCAATCCCAGCGCTATCCGCCGGCCGTAGCCCCCTACCCCAACACCCAGTACGGCGCAGCCTCCAGCTCCGTCGACAACCTCAGGGCCTCCCTCAACAACACCTCGACTGCAACCGCCCAATCTCAGGCAACTTCTCCTACTCCTCAGCCTGCACCCCAGCCCGAGAAGCGCTCTGCACGGAGGTTGCTCAAGAACATTCTGGGAGCGGGCCGAGACCATCACAACACCCCGCCTCCTTCCCAGCAGCCTACCCCGCCAGGCTCCTACGATAACACTGGTGGCCTCGCTCGCCGACCGTCAAAGAGAGTGAGCAATCCACCACCCGCGAGAACCGCATTATCCCAGCAGCCTTCCCAGCTGTCGCTCGACCAGCAGTCGACAGACTGGCCGTTGCCCGCGCTAAATCAGCAACCCTCCCCGCTACAAGGCGTCGGCGAGATCGAGGACCAACACCGCTTTGCACAAGATCCTAACAGAGACCATCGTCTGCAGACCCCCGATTCCCACCGCAATTCCATTCGTTACGTTCCCAGCGACTTAGACAATACCCCCTACGAAGACCCTGCATATCTCCAGCAGCAGCAACAGCAGCTGCACGCCTTGCAAGACCAACACCAGCACGCCCAGCAGTCTGCTTACGACCCCTCCCAACACCAGTACCAGCAGTACTCCCAGCAGCAGGTTGGTCAATACCAAGGCGGACCGTCTCCCATTCACACTGGCCACCTGGGTACCGGTTCTCACCAAAATCCCGAGACCGTTTCTCAGTTGTCGCATGAATCACCGGTTACTGATTCAGACGCTCGCTCGGCAAACGTCCAGTCCGCACAAACCTCCCCCGCAGTAAGATACGCCGTGCAGACCACCGATAACCCGCTGCCTCCTACACTCCCACCCGCCCAAGGTAGCTCTCAGCCTCAGCAGCAAAACATGACGCCCCCTGCTGGAGGACCCCCTCCGCGATCCGAACGACGACCCCAAGCAGAGACGGAGAAGACGTTGCGAAGCCAGGTCGACGCACCCGGTGCCCCCCCGCCGGGTTACAGACAGAGTCAGACTATGCCTACCACTGGTGCTGCTGCTGCGAACCCGGCCTTCCGTACGGGTAGCGCTCAAGAAGGCCGCCAGTTCGAGGGGTCGGGAGGAGAGCAAGGCCGCAACAGCCCTCAGCCGTCGAACCCTGACCGCGACGGCACCGATCCTGACAAGTTCAAGGAGCTACGTAAGGCAGTCGCAAGCATCGTGCTGGCATGCGCTAACAGCTATCAGTCACCAAGTACAAGAACGTTAAGCGCCTTTACTTCGATGGCAAGACACAGATCGACAACTTGAACTCCCAGATCGAGCAACTGCAGAACGCCGTTGCAAACCAGCGGATGTCACAGTCCCGCACCGCTCTCGACGATAGCGAGTACATCACCAGGTTCAACCGTCTCAACGGCGCCATCAACAACCTATCGTTCAACATTCGCAAGGATTGGCGCACAGTGCCGCAATGGCTGGACATGTACGTGAGCATCGACGCTCTGAAGACCGGCAAGCAAGAGATGACGGCAGTTGGTCGCGCTGTCATTACGAGGTGGATTGTAGAAGAGATCTTCAACAAGTGCTTTCACCCGGGCCTCAACTTCGACCTCAGCCGGCAATTGAAGGATATTGAGCTCAATATCCGGCGGTTCTCATACACGATGAACAGCCAAGAAGAGTTCGACGCCTTGACGAACAAGGTCGTCAGCTGGCGTATGGCAACACTGGAGGGTCTTCAGAGGGCTTTGAACTCCCCCGAGAGCGCAGACAACAGAGCAGACTTCACCCGCATGTGCACGTCAAACCTCACGGCAACGCTGTTCCAGTACATGACAGATCCGCCGCCGCCTGGTGTAGATGGCAGCGCGTCTATGATCGTGGAGCTGGCAGTAGGCATCGCCGCCAACCTGCCGCTGGAGAGCAGAGACGTGGCCATCACCTACCCGCTGCCAGGAGATCCCATCAACCCTAACATTATGGAGGTGGAGAAGGCGCCTCTTCCACCGCTAGAGACACAAAAGGAAGGCGAGGAGGCCGCGGATGATTCTGACAAGGACAAGAACGGCAAGGACCGGCGGGCGGACAAGACCAGAAGCGGTATGTTCACAAACATTCTCGGTGGCGGACCGCCTCGAAAGAGCAGCAACGCTTCGTCGATCGTACCTTCAAGTACTGATGCAGCCCCCCCTTCAGCGCTTCCACCCAAAGACAACAACAAGGTGCGGCTCGCCGGCTTCCCCGCAGTGGAAGTCCGGGGCCGTCAAGTGTTGGTGAAGGCGCCGGTCTGGACGCTCTGAGGACGCTGGAGGTGGTGAATGGAGAGGACCGGAAGAGACCGTCCTTGGGGCTGCACGACGGCCCGTATGAAGGAGGAAAGCCTTCGTTGATGACGCCATTAAATAAGAGGAGCTTTGGGGGTGGAAGAATACGTTGGTTGGAGCTAGTCACTATTGAGAAGAAAGGGGATGGAGACTAAGAACCAACATCACGGAATGGGCTAGGGGCGATATTTCATGACTGAAGATTCACATTCATACCAGGACGGTATGCTTGGACGCTGGGGTATCTCTCTCTGAAGGGGAGCGCCTAGATAGTTGCCAAGGTACCTCCAAGTTGCTTGCTTTCTCGCTCTCATTACTCTCCTCGTCTCCGTCATCACGCTCCCTGTGCTCCCAGATATCCGCACCGAACTTCCGGTTTACGACTTGAATCTCCCCGTGGCTCGATCAAGACGCAGGGAGCCCCGTCAAAGGGACACTGTAGTGATGTCAATTGGTGTTCGACGTCCACCCCAACGCGTCTGAAAAGGGGGCTACCACGTACCCTGTTGTAATCGGCCGGACAGACCTGGTCATCGCGGCTTGCGAGATGGCACTTGTTGCTCATTTGTGTGCAGGTCTACGACGCATCATTCAGCAACCATGGCTCCCTACAAGCTGGTGGATACGGTTGACTTACACCTCTCGTCCTGGTCTCATCCTGAGACTGTCTGACTTCGAAGAAGGCCAACCTCCTCGCCGAGGCCGTGCCGAGGATCAGGAGCGCGGCGAAGACGAAGAGGTGGAAGTTGAACACGGCCATAATCTTTCTGTCCTCGAAATTGTTGGAGATTATCGAAGGCGTTACTGCTGGAGCGGGAGTAAGAAGACGGTTGTGTGTGTGTCAAGCGAATGTGAATCCTGCTCTGCACCAAACGAAGGAGAGTTGAATCAGAACAGAACGAGAGACTCTTTCGCCCAGGAAGAAAGGGTGCGGGGAGGAGTTCATCCTCTTTTTCTAACACACAAACACACACACACACACACTCACGAGGCACGTCCACGGGTGCGGTACGGGAAGAACAGACGAAACGTCACCTTATTGCACCCGCGCGCAGTGGCGATACATTTGCTTACATTTTTGCCTACATCTTTGAGGATCGGGGGATGGTCGGTCACACAAGCACACACAGACCCTTCCCCCTCCGCAGAGCCAGCAAAAAGAAGCTCACGCATTGCGCGTTTCTTGTTTCCCCCATCGGCGAGGACAAACATGACTGCACCATTGTCGTCTTTGGTGGTTGTAATCGGTCGGATCGCTCGTGTGGTTGCAGTCGCCCTCCTGTCTTACGCGGATGCAATACTAATGGATCATTGCGGGAGGGAAAGGGATACATCAGGCGAAAATAATTACATCACTGTCCTCTATTCTAATTGCCATTCATACGTGCCCTCTGTCTGCAATTACTCGCTAGGCTCAAGATGACAGCTGCGCCCAAGTCGAAGAGTAGTCTTTGCTCCGGAGCTTCACAACACAGCAGAGTTTCAACCCACCTGCCACCGAAGGAAGCTACCTACCTACCACCCTACCTCACCCTGGGCCCCTACCAAAGGGCAGCCCCTCCTCCATCGGGCAGCGAGGGGTTGCTTTGCATGGTTTGTGCTTGAAAAGAGGAGGGAGGGGGTGGGGGCCGACGGCTTGGGACTCTGACTTGGCCGTCTCACCGCCTGCCGCTTCCAGCATGAAGCGGCGGAAACACCCCGCCAAAAAACACATTTCGCGATGGCATCAAAAAACCGGGTTTGGCCAACGTCGTCGCATTGTCTGGTGACTGCATAATATCTCTTCTCCTCTCGTCCCACCGCTCTGTACTAAAGCACCACCGCGGCATCACAGCATACCACACTCGAAAATGGCTTCTCAACCCGCCCACCTGGAGCCCTCCAAGCTCGGAACAAAAGAATAGTACTGCTCCCTCCTCACCCCCGGACTCCCACCCCCAATCTAACCGACGGGAACAACAGCTGGTCTTCCCTCTACACAACCGAACTAACAAACCACGCCTCCGACCCAACCGACCGAGGCACCGTCTGGTTCGACGACTCGGACGCCGAGTCCAAGCTCCTCACCTACCTCGAGGACCTGACCGAGTCCGCCGCCTTCGACCACTCCCTCCGCCAGCCCGATGCCACCTTCCTCGACCTCGGCTGCGGCAACGGCTCCCTTCTCTTCGCCCTCCGCGACGAGGGCTGGCACGGCCGCGCCCTCGGCGTCGACTACGCGCCCCAAAGCGTCGAGCTCGCCCGCCGCATCGCCCGCCAGCGCGCCGAGGCCCCCAAGGAGGGGGATGATGAGGACATGGTCGACGGCGACGAAGAGGAGGTGGACGTCAAGGAGCCCGAGTTCGACGAGTGGGATCTGCTCAACGGGCCGTGGGAGACCGTTCTGAACGGCAGCCAGCAGGAGGGCTGGGACGTTGTGCTCGACAAGGGAACCTTCGATGCCATCTGCTTGAGCGACGAGAAGGATGCGCAGGGCCGGAGGATCTGCGAGGGCTATAGGGGACGCGTCTTGCGTCTAGTGAAGCCCGGTGGCCTGTTGCTCATCACGAGCTGCAACTGGACCGAGGAGGAGCTCAGGTCGTGGTTCGAGGGCCCCGCGAGAGAAGGCGATGTCGGAAGGTTTGTTGCCGTCGGCAAGGTCGATTACCCCAGCTTCACCTTTGGTGGCGCCAAGGGCCAGACAATTAGCAGTTTGTGCTTCCAGAGACAGGCCTAGATGCATGCCATGATGCAATGACTTGACGAATAAAGAGAATAAAAGAAAGATATGGATACCCCATGATCACGGCTGACCTTATGTGCTCGTTGCAACGGGTTCTTCTGACTGCTGCTGTGTATCATACATTGGTTTCTTTTTTATTGGGGAATCCAGGCAGCTTCACCTACCCTCAACTTTCCTCCACTTCTACTCCGTCATGCAACCGATGCCCCGGAGCCGACCCTCCCTGAGTTCTCCTTGAATGACCTCTGAACATCCGTTCCCCTCTTTCTAGTCTCTTTTTTTGTTGCGATCCGAACGGGCCAGCTAAAGAAGTACCAAAGAACTGTCGTGTTGCCGAAGCATGCAAGGTTAAGAATGTTGGGGCGGGCTCGGGTAAAAGATTGGGAATTGCTTCATTACGTCTCTCATCTATGGTGATGTATTCATAGGTTCGCCAGCAGTAGGTCCAGTCACGCTGTTCGCGGACGTTGTCGCAAAGTACCGCACGTCGACGTCGTCGTCCTTTTGCAGCTTCTCGAGCTTGGGGATGACGCGCGACTGGATCAGCTCCATTCCTCTAGGGGACGGGCTGAAGCTGGCACCCTCCTTCTCCAGCGAGTAGATGGTACCCTCTTCCGGCAAACGGCGAAGGACGTCGATGAGAACGCCGTATGTCTTGGCAACATTGAAACGAATGTTGGGGATCTCGTCGTCAACCAGCTTGTCGAGCATCGGGAGAATCTTGTCGGCGATGACGTCCATGCTGACGACCGAGGCGAGAGTCTACCAAATGTCAGTACGTGCAAGCTGTGAACGGTGCGAGGATACTCACCGTGATGGCGAAGCAGGTTGTCATGCGGTAGAGGTAGTTGGGGTGGTTGCCCATAGCCATAACCTTGGGAATGATTGCCTCACTTGCCCATTCAACCCCGAAAACCTCAGTCAGCTTCTTCAAGTTGTGCGTCGCAGCCTCGCGAATAGAGAAGACCGTGTCACCCAACCAGCTCATGCACAGGTTGCCCAGCTTCTCGTCGAAGAACTTGACGCCGAGCTGGCTCGCGAGCAAAGGAATGTACTCGATAATTGCAAGCCTCACGCGCCATTGCTTGTCTTCCGCAAGCTGGGTAATCGCGGGAAGGAGAGATTGCGAGAGCAAGTCAATTCCAATAACTAGGATCAGTCAGCTTTGAACTCGTATCTTCTGGGTTGCCACATACCCTGATTGACAAGCTCAAGCTTTGAGATGATGTGAAGACGGACTTCGGGGAACTCATCCTTCAGCATCTGCAAGAACATGGGCAAAAGGTGGTCAATAGTCCTGGAACATGTTAGCCTCATATGTACTCTGTGAAGCGCCCCCCGCAGCCAAGAAACTCACTCTTGCTTGCCCAGGATGGGTGCAAGACCACTAATCTGCGTTCCAAGAGCAGCTCGGACGTGCTGAGAGGTATCGGAAACGAGATCCTCGACGCTGCCCATGATGTCGTTAAGAAGCACGGTCCTGTCGACGAGAGCGCAGAAGCCGGGTATTTGGCCAGCGATCGCAGTGCGGACCTCGGCCTCGTTGTCCTTCAGCAGCTTGACAAAGGACGGAACCAGATCTCTCGACACGACCTCCTCATCAACAGCCTTGGAAATCTGCGCGCACATTTAGCATCACCTCTTCTCTTGATCACCGACGAAACCCACCTTCTCGAATCTGTCAGCAATCATGTATCGAACCCTCCAGCTCTTGTCCTCAATCAGGTTGCGCAGAGAAGTGAGGAGGACGCCGTGGCTAGACTGCTGCTCCTTGGGAACGACTTCGGCGATAGAAATAAGAATCTCGACGGTGAGTAGGCGGACGGAGTCCTGGTCGTCTTGGGCGAGGTGCTGGAAAAGGGGTATCATCTCCTCAACAACGACGGCGGCCGGCATCTCCTTGACGAACTTTGACAGGTTGGTGGCAGCCTGACGTCTGACCATGGGTGTCTCATCGTGGACAAGCTGGCCAAACTGCTTCCGAAGCTCTTCTTGAACGCCGGGAGAAACCTTCTTGTAAGGGGTTGTGTAAAGGCCGCAGCCAGAGACCTTGGAGGTGAACCAGTCTGCTTTTGACAAACGGACCGTCAAGGGAATGAAGTATTCTTCGACTTGTTGGGAAGACAGCTCCTCGCAGATCTTGTTGAGGGACTCGACGGCCTGTCCTGGTTAGGCGACGTAGGTTGCAGGTGGAGAAGGGGGCGATAGCTACCTTGTCCCGCACGACGGGCTCCTCGATGGCAGCGAGGTTCTCGAGGGGAGATAGGAGGACGTGGCCCCATTGAGGGCCTCCGACGTATTCGATGAAGTTGCCAAGCTCGCCGCTGAGAGCGACCAAGACCTCATCTTCGTCCTCGACAGATTCTGGTGGGTTGTTTAGATATGGCTCAAAGAAGGATGGGATGCGCGACACTAACCGTCGAGGAAGGGGATCAGCTCCTCGCGCGTGCGCTCGGCGCCCAGGGCGAGGGCGATAGTAGAAAGGCGGTGGATGGCATTGAGGCGCAGGAGGACATCGTCGTGCTGTGTTTGATCTGTCAGCATCAAAGGTGCGCAGCGGGTGGATGGATGGTGGTGGTGGTAGCAGCAGTCTGGTCGGGCAGGAGGCCGAGGACGGGTAGGGAAGAGGGACAGTCACCGCCATACCTTTAGCTCGTCGATGAGGACGGCGATGGGGTAAAGCTCGTCCTGGGTATTCGGCGCGTCTGCCATGGCGAGCGATTCGGGCGCAGGCGCGTCTATCGATGGGTTGGTCGAAGGGTGTGAAGGGGAAAGGTTGTCGACGTCTTTTGGGCGATCGGGGTGGATCGCGTGCGAGTGATGCAATGGGTTGGTTGAGGGCGAGCGACGGTCGTTGTGGGATGGGGGGCTCTAAAATCTGAGACGACGCAACCGGGATGGTGGATGGTAATTACTACGAGGCAGAGGTTGCAGGTGAGCAGACCATGCCACGATCCGAAGGGCGGTTTGGCGGCAGAATCAGCAAGATATCGCGGCAATGGTGGAGAAGGGATAATGTGGTGTTGAATCCAGATGGTGGACGGAGGCAGCAAAGGGCAAGGAGAGGCAAGTTTGACGACGCCGTTCTGTTCTGGTCTGGTCTGGTCTATGGCCGCTGGACGGGAGGTCGACCTGACGTTTCTGTCCTGTGCTGCTTGCCGGGCTGGGTTCTGCCAGCCAGTCCCACCACCGCAGCGTGGCCAGTGAGTGAGATGCAGCGTGCTAAAAGGTGGGCTAGCAAAGCTTCCACTGATCAACAAATGCCATGCCCTGCCCGTAGGTACACTGGGCTGTATTTGTGACCACGGGCAGCACCTCAGGGCAGCGTCCGGTGCCTAGCTGAGATCCAATGCTGCCTTCCATTAGGTAAGGTACGTACTTTCCAGGCTGGATCTTGGAGCCTTGGACGACGTAAGGCAGGGGTGCAGTTCACAGTGGCTCTTGTATGAGGGGAGGGGCTGTCTGCCTCTTGCCTCTTCTTAGGCGAGTAGCGCAAGCCTGCCTAGGATACGAATTATTTCCGCAACACATCTTCATCGTCCTAGAAGGAAGGAAATGCAAAAATTTCCCTTTTCATGCCAGAACGGCAGGATCCTACGGTGTAAACAGAACAGGATCCTTTCGAGGCCTGCAGCAGAACACGGCCTTTCGATCAAGCACCAGACGAAAACTCCATGCAAGAGACTCACACTTGATGGAGGGGCGATGACGAGGTGCAGCTGAGCTACAAGTACGTATATGACCTGAGCTGCAAGTGCTTCACTCAGAGGCACCTGCCTCACGGATATGGCCTCCGTGCGCTGGTGACGATGCTTGTTTCCAGAAACCAAGCGCGCGCTTCACGCATGGAGACGTCACGTCAGGCTTCTGTGAAATGCAAGGCAACAAACAGCTCTCTCATCTCTCACCTCGTATCTGTTTCTCGGGCAAAAACATGTGGAACTGGAATGTAGAACGCACGGCTGGATCTGGGCGCGGACGCACTGGTCGCCAGCTGTCATCAGGAGCCAGCATCGACGACACAGATCAGTCCAACCCGTCCCGGTCTCGCTTCCCTGGGCACGAGCCATATCGGACCCTGGAAAATTGAGACGCCGAGTCTGCTCGCCGCTTTTGCAGCCCCTCAACCCCGCACTCCCTCAATTGGCGCCAGGACCACCCCGATGACTCTTTTGGCTGTGTAAAGCAGCAACTTCATCCCACCAGTGACCCTCCGTACATGCAATTGCTTGACCTCCGACAATCCCCCAAAATTTCTGTGACTCAAGGCCTCTCGGAGAAGGACAGCGACCACTTCACGGAGCCTCTCCCGCCCTCTGACGACCGCCGGACCGATATTTCCTAGAGAGATTCTCGTCAATCCTCACCATGCCTACTATCGCCGTTAACAAGTACGATTTGTACAAGGCCCTGGGCCAAAAGTGAGTTGCGCCGCGGTCGCACAGCCTGCCCAGACCCAGATTACGACCCCGCCATCCCGAGTGCCCCTCCGCTAAACATCACCGCACACAGCTTCACCACCCAGGAGTTCGAGGACCTCTGCTTCGAATTCGGTATCGAGCTCGACGAAGACACCGAGAATGACGAGCGACCTATCGTCAATGGCGTGCAGGAGCCGCCCCAGCTCAAGATCGAGATACCCGCCAACCGATATGATATGCTGTGTTTCGAGGGAATAGCACTCATGCTCAACATCTTCAGGGGAAAGGTCGCCCCCCCAAACTACAAGGTCGTTGAGCCTAAGGAGCCCGAGACTCAGGTCATCACCGTGGCCCAAGATACCAGCAAGATCCGTCCCCTCGTTGCCGGTGCTATCCTCAGAAACGTCAAGTTCACCCAAGAAAGCTACGACTCCTTCATCGGCCTCCAGGACAAGCTGCACATGAACCTGGCGAGACAAAGGACATTGGTAGCTATTGGTACTCACGATCTTGACACCATTCAGGGGCCCTTCACGTATGAGGCACTGCCCCCCAAGGAAATCAAGTTCAAGCCCCTGAACCAGACCAAGGAGATGAATGGCGAGGAGTTGATGCAGTTCTACGAGGGCGACAAGCATCTTGGCAAGTACCTGCACATCATTAAGGACTCGCCTGTCTACCCTGTCATCTACGACAAGAACCGCACCGTCTGCTCCCTGCCGCCCATCATCAACGGCGACCACTCCAAGATCACCGTCAACACCACAAATGTCTTCATCGAGATGACAGCTACCGACGCCACTAAGCTCGACATCGTTTGCGACATGATGGTCACCATGTTCTCTCAGTACACCGCCGAGCCTTTCACCGTGGAGCCTGTCAAGATCGAATCCGAGCACAACGGTGCCTCAAGGACGACGCCCAGTCTCAAGCCCCGCACTATCGATGTCGAGATCGACTACCTCAACGCCTGCACTGGCCTGAACGAATCACCCGAGACGCTTTGCAAGCTTCTCACCAAGATGGCATACATCGCCAAGCCGTCAGAGAAGGACAGCAACCTTTTGAGTGTCACCATCCCAGTTACCCGCGCCGACGTGCTACACCAGTGCGACGTTATGGAGGACCTCGCAATTTGCTACGGCTACAACAACCTCCCCAGATCCTCCCCAAACAAGAGCGCGACCATTGGTGCGCCTCTTATGATTAACAAGCTCGCCGATATCATCCGAAATGAGGCCGCCATGGCTGGCTGGAGCGAGGTCTTGCCCCTGATACTGTGCAGTCACGACGAGAACTTTGGTTGGTTGAACAGGAAAGACGACGGCAAGACCGCCGTCAAGCTCGCCAACCCCAAGACTGCCGAGTACCAGGTCGTTCGCACATCTCTGGTCCCCGGCCTCCTCAAGACTATTCGCGAGAACAAGAAGCACAGCGTACCCATCAAGATCTTCGAGGCTTCCGACGTCGTCTTCAAGGATGAGTCCCTGGAGCGCAAGGCTCGCAACGAGCGCCACTTTGCTGCTGCGTGGTACGGCAAGACCTCTGGTTTCGAGATCGTCCACGGTCTCCTGGACCGCATCCTCCTGATGCTTCGCACCGCCTTTCTCACTCACGACGAGGGCCTGACGGCTGGCAAGAGCCTTGACTTCAAGGTTGCAGAGAACCCTGGAAAGCCGGACGGCTACTGGATTGAGGAGATTAACGAGGATACCTTCTTCCCTGGCCACGCGGCTGCCATCTACCTTCGTCTTGGCGGCAAGGAGCAGCGCATCGGCGAGTTTGGCATCCTGCACCCCACCGTGCTGGAGAAGTTTGACTTGAGGTACGAGCTTCCTCCCCTCCCTGACTGCGATAGAGAATGCATACTAACCAACGTAGATACCCTGTGAGCACCCTTGAGATCAACCTTGAGGTCTTCTTGTAGTGATGAGCATGATGGGACATGTGGGCATGACGGTTGGCTACGGAATTAAAAAAAAAAAAAAAAAAAAAAAAAAAAAAAAAAATTTGGGGGGGGGGGGGGAAAAAAAACNACGGAAAAAAAAAAAAAAAAAAAAAAAAAAAAAAAACATAAAAGTTCGGCGATGCGAGGGCAAACAGACGTAGACTTGTTCCCTGGACCAGAAGTGGGCCCAAAATATTGCCAGATAAAATAGACTGAAGACCAAAAAAATATCGAAAAAAAGATGCCGCCCGGTGTTGCAACGTGTTGCATCCATGACAGCTTGCCTATGTGTGAGGAATATATTCGGTATGCCAGTGTTCATTCAGACTTCACAAGGAACATAAGACGTGACTTTAACTAATTAGAATTAAGAAACTTCTCAAAGAGTACGGGGAGTTCAAAACCCAAGGCGGATCTATATAATGAGCCCCAAGTGCATCCCTTTCCTGCTCTGTCGGACGCGTTCAATTGCTCCGCGCCTTTTGTTTTCCAGACCCTTCCCATCTGTATTGCCCTATCCTTCTGCCCCTGGCCCAACGCTCTTTGAATGCAGGTCGTTTCGCCTTGACGCCAGAAAGCAGTATCGGCATGTCTCTATTTGGCCCCCTGCGGAAAGAGGCCGAAAACGAAGAAACAAAATGGTCGTAATAAATGTACAAAACTCCTAGCGGCGTGTCATGAAAACCGTGAAACGTGTCGAAGGCCTCTGTTTTCTCACTTCTCCATTCGTACAAACTTTTCTCGTTTGCACTTTGTGTGTTTGTTGGAACGATCAAAGTTTGAAGTGAACGCCTGAGACGCCATCTTCACTGGGAACCCATTTGAATCCAGTGCAAGATACTGCCGTTATCAGCTGAGGGGGCATCTTCATTGTCGTCCACCATGACGAAGACGCTGTCGTCGGCCATCTCATCGAAGCTGTCGTCAAGACCGTCAGGAATGAGGTCGCTGTCGGTTATGGGGACGATGGTGTCCTCACAAAGACTCATGTCGTCGCTGTCGACCGTGGACATGCTGTCGCTGCTCATTTGGCTGCCATTGGTGGTGTCGCCACTACTGCTGGTCTCGTCGCCACTGCTCTCGTCGCCGCTTGTCTCGCCGAAAGTGCCGTTCATCGTGTAACCAGCAGGCGGCCACTCATTGTCGGACTCCTCACCGATCATGTATCCGTGAAAGCTCATGACGCCCCAGTCCAGCATGCCTTGGCTACCCCAATCTAAGGCAGACTCCAAATCCGACTCAGAGACTGTCGCCGCATTGGCAGATTTCGTGGCTGCCGACATTTTCTGCGGTAATTTCGCCAAGTTCGCTGCGTTCAACTTTGAAACAGTCTCCGTCAGCACTTCTGTCATCTCTGCTAACTTAACTCCCACCTCTGGGTCTCTGTTCGATTCCGGCATTGACTCACTGTCGCTCGGATAATCAGGATCCCAGTTCTCCCTATGGTAGAGGTCTGCATCGAAGAGCATAGTAGATTCGGTCTCTTCGATCAGGTAGGGCGGGTCGGGCAATTGCGCGAAATTGACACCCTAAGTCATCTCCCGTAACTCTTGCTCGCCGCGAGTCGGGACCCTCGAGGTTGAGGCTGGACTGCCATTGCGATTGTTGGTACCCAGGTTATTGAGCATGCCGGTGACGTTGCGGCCAATGTTGAGGTTTGCGATTCCGTCCGCAATGCCGTCTCGAATAGACGAGAAGGCATTCGGATTCTCAGCCGAGGCACTCCGTTGAAGGTGTCGCTCCTGTCCCTGCTCCAATCGTCGTCCCTGGCGTTGCTCCTCGGGTGTCAGAGTGGCGTGTGATGATTCCACAGCAGCGAGAACAGACTGGCTAGCCGCCAGAGAGGGAGGCTTGGAGCCGGGAGTGTTGTCAGGAGGTGTGCCGGGATGGCTGCTCGCGTAGGACTCTTCAGTCGCCGGCTGGAAGTTGGCCATGGCCGAGGCCTTGTTCTGAGCCTGCGCAGCTGTGGCGTGCAGGTTCGAGTTCATCTCCTCGTCAGACCGGTTGAAAAGCTGGTGCCACCAGATAATATCCTTAAGGTCTGTCTTAATGATCGAATCACGACCCTTAACGTATTCGTCAATGGTGGGATCGTAATCCTTGTTGATGAACTCCTGCTTGCGAGCCAGAAAGTAGTCCCAGACAGACTGTGTGCGCTCAGCAGCACGGGCATCGCGTCTCTGCTTCTCGGAGTTATAGAGAAAGGTTCCATACTGGCAAGAGTAGAGGTGGTAGAGCAGCCGGCGAAGAAATCGCTCATTAAACTCAAACTTGGTTGGGTTCTGCCGCAGAAGCTGGTAGACGCAGTCCAAGAATTGGTGAAAGACGGGGCTGATCATCTTAGGGACGGTGGCCTCGTCGTTGGCAACCTTGCCAGTCGCCGCCTCGCCAATGGCGTCAAGCTGCTCCGTGGGGTCATCCTTGTTCTGGTTGAAGAACCGGCGCGCTCCGGCAATGACATTCTGGAATGCATCTGCGCGGCCGTCATTTTCGCCAGGATTGACGGTTTGACCAGCCATGCCATCTCTCTGAACATTGAACCAGCTTTCATGGTTCAAGGGCCCAGACCGCAGTCTGAACATGTGGCCAAAAGACAACCAATCCTTCTCCACCAGAACCATGAATCCCTCAATGGTACGGAAGTATGGGTCCAGGAGGATCTGAGCAAGGGCACTGAGCTGACTTGTGCGGTCCCAACCGTCAGAGCAATGGATCAACACATGAGAGTGCTTGTACCAGATCTGTCGAGCAATAATCTCAGCACCGTTGAGCACTGCTGCGGTGTGCTTGAGCCAGCCAGTTGCAAAGAGGGCGTTTTGGTCAGGCGGCAAAGGCGAGACGTCTGCGTCTTTGATGCAGTCCACAACCTTGTTCAGAGAGTTTCTCATTACGTGAATGTTCTCAATGTTCATGAAGGCCTTTGTGGCACCAGGGTAGCGGTCCATGGGCTCAGATCCCATTCCTTGGACTTGGTTAACCATAGCATTGACAGTAGGCCGGGCGTCGACAATCATGTTGGCTTGCTGAGCTCCATAAACAAGCCTCTTGCCAGTCTTCTCGTCGTAAACCTTGGGCGCAGCATCCTCGATGATGCTCTCCTCGTACTTCTCGAGCTCTGAAAGACTGGTGGTCTCCGAAGCCGGCAACTGGGGAGGCTGCTCGGAGTCGACGCTGGTCCGGGGAACACGCTCCGCGAATGACGCCAACACAAGCTTCTCGTCCTGGACATTGTTTTTCCTGGTGATGCCCGACAGGGGCTGGGCGCTGCGAGTAATAGTACAGTTGTTGACCTTGTGAATGTAGCTTAGAGCCGGGATGCGGTTTCTAGAGCGGTAATCCTTGGCGTACTTGAGGACATTATCGGAGATGGAAGAGGGAACCACAAGAACGGCAGGGTAGGTGTCGCAAAAGGTATAGTCCTTGTTGATGTTGCTGATTCTCCATCCCAAGTCCGCCGACTTCTCGCTGATACCCTGTCGACGGAACTCGGCTCTCGGATCGTATATGTGCCAGCCATTGACATGCTTCTCGACCTTGGAGGGCTTGTGATGGAACGCGAAGAGCGACTCGACGGAGGGAAGCTTGCACGTTCGGGCCTTGATGAACTCGAACACTTCCTTGGCAGCTTTGTCGTCTTGGAATGTGAAGGTGACGAAGACGAAGTCGCGACAGCGGATGCGGATTGAGCTATGAATGCCAGTGGTCGGGGGCATGAGCCGCAGTTGCACGTTTGACAGGATGGGAAACGTAATCCATGATTCGCGAGTCTTGGGTGCTTGGTTCGGCGGTTGAGGGAGCGGTTGGTCCTTTGGGGCTTTGACCGGGACGCAGTAGACGAGGTGGTAGTCGGTCAGACGAAGGGTGCCCGTGGAGGTGACTCCGCCGCTGATGCCCTGGACGTTCTCGACCACCTGTTGGACAACACGTTAGTACGCCTCTTATTGGGAGATGGAATGCGGGAGGGAAAGAAACAAAAAATAAGATTAGCTGAAGGGTCGCGTAACTTGCCTTTCTGGCCTCCATATTGAGCTGCGAGTGATGATATTGCTTTTTAGCTAGAGGAGCATGGCCGCGCGGGATGTCCGGAAGGTAAGGGAGCGTCGTAGGTAGGTCGGCAGGTTAAATCACTCGAAGAGGGCAGCTTGTGAGGCCGCACAACTCCTTCGAAGTGAGCTTGAGCAAGGAAGAAGAAATGCGAAGAGAAGAGATTTTCGTTGGACCGCGCGGCGTTGGATTTTGAAGGTTGCGCAAGTCAAGCAAGGTTTGGGAGGTAAGGTAGAGGTCGGGTCGGTGGTCAGGTCGGCTGCTGGTGCCGCAGGGCAGGCGCTGGCGCAGACAGCAGACGCAGGAAGGAGCGACGGGTCGGCTGTGGCCCCACTAGCGAGGGGCTGAAAACAGACGTCACGGCCTTTGGCCCACGGGGGTGCGGCCTGGGCCCTGAAGCACTCCAGCTTCAGCAGCTTCCATGTGCTGCTCTTCGGTGACTGGGTCTTTGATGTTTCTGGACGCTTTGTTTACTTTGTGATGCTGGAGATGTTTTTGTTTTTCTTGTGAGTTGTCTCTGTGCCCTTCTTTTGTTTTTCTCAGGCCGTCAGTTTGCAAAGTGATGCCACTACGTCTCTGAGCAGGGAAATTTACAGGAGCTACCTCCATCAGTTGCATCACTAGGGACATGTGCAGGGCAACATCATCAGGTACGAATATTGACGGTGTGTTTCCCTCTCCTTGTGTGTATCATCATTGTTTGTGCAGCCAGACGCATTTGAGCTAAAACGTAATCTGTTCCTTAATCATGCTCTGGAAAACACACCAAAACACATCACCAGCAAACATCGCGACGTGAATCGCAGCTCCAGATCCAGACGGACTGCCTGAAATGTCACCCACCTGACGTCTTCAGCTGTGTGACCTGTGACCGGCAGCTTCCAGTGACAGCCCAGGGAGCATTCTGCCCCACCAACCCGTGGTGAGCTGGTCGCCCCGGGGGGTAGGTGTGGCGCGGTGTCTTCAGAATTCACTGTGACCCCTTGAAACCCCACACTCCCGTCAGGTCCCGCCCGGGAAACGGAAAAGTCTGTCCCGACGGCCGACCTTCAGCCAGCTGGCTGCAGGTGGAAGGTCAGCAAGTCGAAGCTTACCTAAGGCGAGCCGGCGCGTTGCAGGAGAAAACCACTTTGACTGGGAGCAAGGCGCGTGGGGGGACGTGCGCCCGGTGCAGACACAGGAAAAAAGCACAGACCACGCAGGTCAATCAAGACTCTAGGGCTTCACACAATTTTCCTTCCCACAGCGAGAATTCCCGCTTCTGAGCCGAGCCGGACGAATTGAGCTGCTTTGACAACCTCATTTACTCGCCAACACCACCCCCCCGACGACGTCGAACTTCTAACCAACCCGTCCACCTATCCCAACCCCTTTCGACACCGGGCAAAGAAAGTCAAGATGGCTGTTCCAGGCACTCAGATGTAAGCCAATTCCCCTCCTCTTCCCCGGCAGTGACAATTACACTTTTTTTTTTTGCGTCTTGCGTTGGGAGGAGGAACCCACCCCCGCCAAAATTCGAGGTTTCGCGATGATGGGAGGAGGAAAGAAAAAGACGATGAAGACGAAGAAGAACAGGCCTGACTTTGCCGTCGACTACACGAACAAACAATGCTGACTTTTGTTTCTTCTACAGCTCCAAGCGCAGAAAGTTCGTCGCCGATGGCGTCTTCTACGCTGAGCTCAACGAGTTCTTCCAGCGCGAGCTGGCCGAGGAGGGCTACTCCGGCGTCGAGGTCCGCGTCACCCCCACGGTAACCGACATCATCATCCGCGCCACCCACACCCAGGAGGTCCTCGGCGAGCAGGGACGCCGCATCCGCGAGCTCACCTCCCTCATCCAGAAGCGCTTCAAGTTCCCCGAGAACTCCGTCTCCCTCTACGCCGCCAAGGTCCAGAACCGCGGTCTCTCCGCCGTCGCCCAGTGCGAGTCCCTCCGCTACAAGCTTCTCAACGGTCTCGCCGTCCGCCGTGCCTGCTACGGTGTCCTCCGCTTCATCATGGAGTCCGGCGCCAAGGGTTGTGAGGTCGTCGTCTCCGGCAAGCTCCGTGCCGCCCGTGCCAAGTCCATGAAGTTCACCGACGGCTTCATGATCCACTCCGGCCAGCCCGCCAAGGACTTCATCGACTCCGCCACCCGCCACGTCCTCCTCCGCCAGGGTGTCCTTGGTATCAAGGTCAAGATCATGCGCGGCTCCGACCCCGAGGGCAAGGCTGGTCCCCAGAAGACCCTCCCTGACGCCGTCTCTATCCTCGAGCCCAAGGAGGAGCAGAGTGTCGTCCAGCCCATGTCCCAGGACTACGGTGCCAAGGCCGCCCAGGCCCAGGCCGCCGCCGAGGCGCAACAACAGGAGCAGCAGGAGGGTGGTGAGGAGGCTGAGGCCCAGTCGTAGGAGGCTGTCGAGCCCCAGGCTTCTTCGACCAACGAGGTTGATGACTACCAGCAGTCTGCCAACAACTACCAGCAGCAGCAGCAGCAGCAGCAGCAGCAGTCCAGCCTCATGGGCTCTATTTGGTAGACTGCTATTTTCGGACAACTGTCTCGCTCGCTTCCTTCTTCTCTTTTCTCCAAAAAGATTCGCAATTTGGGAAAAACAAAAAGGTGTCGCGCGAACAGCAAAGGGAGGACGGGGGTGGAATACTACTCAGGCGTCTTGATCACATTTGCATCACTCTGCGAAAAAGGGAATTCGGATAGTTGCGACTGGCTTGTAATGGTACAAACCATGAAATGAGCAACGAAATCATTCAATCAACATGTGTCAATCTCATGTGAAGTGACGTGATGTCTGCCCCCATTCCGTGGAGAGGAACAGAGCAAGAAGCAAGTGTGAGATGTGCCCATGACTTCATTAGACCTACGTAAACAATTTCAAGATACCCGCATCATCCGTCCAGCCCGTCTCAAAGAGATCATGGAGTTGCGACGGCAATTTTGTGCTTGTCATACTTAATTCAAGGCTCTGGATGGCCTAGTCTATGGTGCTCAATGCTCTGGACAAGGAATCAAATGCCGTCTCGCTCGGCGAAACAGAGCGTGCCTCTCTCACGCTCTCTTCCCGTTCGCCCTTAATCATACAACAAGAGGTGCTTCCGCACTTGGAACCATGCAAACCCCGATGAACGCCCCGAATGTCCGTCCCGCCCTGTAATACTCCTCGTGCCGTGGCGGAAGTGAAAATGGTATGGAAAACTGCTTTCTGGTTTCCCACTGCTCCCCTCCTTTACTCGGGGTGCTCCTGCACCTTTTCCGTGGGTCTGTGCCTCTTTCGTTGGATCCGATCATGTCGTGGAGAACTTCTCAGTCATATGGCTTCGAGAGAAAATGTACAATGCTGCCCTTGAAATGGGGCCCTGGGTAAGAGAAATGCTTCGAGAAAAAGACAACTACCGCCTTAACTTCTACCAATAACTAGGAAACAGACTTCCGTGTCTTGCCTCCTCACCTATCGGATCTCTGATTTTGAAGCTCAATGGTCTCGTTGTAGGACTTGGAGTGGCCGTTGGCGGATCCATTGCCTCTGCGGTGGTCGATTTCGTCGTCGCTATCATCAGCCAGGTCGGTCAACCCAAACTCGGCACCAGCTTCCTCGTCGTAGGCTCTCATCAGGCCGGTCGTGTCACCGTGGCGGCTGCCAATGCTCATTCGCGGGTCGGTGCTTCTGCGCGCCTGCATGCTAAGGCGAGTCTGAATGGTTGAGACCATGTCCGTGCCCATGGCATCCGAACCACCGCGGCCAGCAACCAGGTGGTGTCCATTCGGGTCGGATCTCGAAAGGTTAAGCAGGTAGACACCGGTGAAGGTGACCAAGAAGCCGCAGATCAGGGAGATCGTGTTGACGGTGTCGGTGGTGTTGAAACCGCCAAAGAGAATGAACGAGGCGCAAAGGGTCGCGGTCGTGAACGTTACGTAGTAAAGGGGGTTGACGCTACGTGGCACCTGATTAGCGCAGCCCGCGGCCGCCGAGGCAAAAACCAGCATGCGACTTACATGTTTGTGGGGAACTGGGCGAGCGCCTTGTTGAAGTAGTTCATTTGGGTCAAGATGCAAACGGCCGTCAGGATCATGAACACGTAAGTCGATGGGTGGGAAAATTGGTTGTTTCCGGCGAATGTGAGCTTGAGGGCAATGCCAAAAGCCTTGACAGACATAACGGAGACCGAGCCGACCGTGGAGCAGATCGAGAGGTAAATGAGGGCGTTCTTCTTTCCGTGGACTGGCGCAACCTTGTAGATCATGACAACTGCGAAGACAGTGACCGCGAAGGCGTACAGCAGGAAACCTATTAACGTGTTAGCTTCTGTCGCAACGCCGGCTCTGGCCGGCATCGAGACTCACCAGGCTGAATAGCGTAGTGCAGGATCTGGTCAATCGTCTGAATGTCCTCATCTGGAGGCGCATGAAGGACGATGATGACGGCGCCAATCAAGCAAATGGCACTGCCGAGACGGCCCAGAGTACCGAGCTCTTCCCTGAGGAAGTAGGAACCAAGTACAGCTCCGATGAGGACAGATAGAGCTCCTAGAGGTGTAACGAGAATCGCAGGCGCAAAGGCGTAGGCCGCAAAGTTGCAGATCTCTCCGACAACCACTGAGCAACGGTTAGCGACAAGCGCCATCTGATGGCAATCGCACAAGCTCACAAGTCGTAATACCAGCCCACCATACCGGGCTCTTGAGGTAAACGAAACCATCTCCCTCAAATCCATGGCGCTCTTCCGCTTGCATGAGACCCTGTAGCGACCGTCAGTATCGACGTCGCAAATGATTGATGGGTTGATCGAGGTAGCTCTCGATACCGCGGCAAAAGGTCGCGTACCTTTTTTGTGATCACGAAACTGATTCCTGCCGTTAAGCAATTAGCAAAGAGAGGTCAAGCTGCAGAACAACTAGCAAATGTGTACCTATGGCTAAGCTGGATGCCATGGCCAAGGCCAGGCCAATGTATCTGCGCGGGATGGTGTCAGCGAGCTCTGCTCTCAAGGCCAGGTGGACGCATCGGCAATGCGTAGCGAACGCTTCGTGGGCCGACTAGATCGCAAACGTACTTCTCGTCTAACATCATGTTGCCAAAAAATGAGCGCGGTACCGGCGACGGAGAGCCAAATGAGCGTCAGGTTCTACTAGACGTGTGCGCCGTGGCGAGGTGGTTGCTGAGAGAGTGTTGTGTCCCGTGGATGGGAGCTGGCGAGGCTCGCGCCGGGCGAGGAAGATGGAGAGGTTGGAGGTAAGGTCGAACGTCGTCAGCAGCGACACATGGAAAGACGATGCAGCTCTCGAAGACTCCAGCGTTTGGAAGGCCGAGTCACAGGTTCGTGGTGGAGGGCGAAGGTCGCTGGTCTTCGGGTTCGATCTCGTCGGGTTCGAATCGAGTCGAGGGGGTCGTCTTCGTGGTCTCTCGTCTGGACGGGACAGGTCGGTGGGTTGGCGCGAGTGGAAGGCCGAAAGGAGAGGGAGAGATGTTTCGTGGGATTTTGCAGATAAAACTGTGAGGGCGGTACGTAGTGTGACAGGCCGAGCCTTGATCGGTACCTCGCAACGATAAGGCCAGAGGGCGGCAAGCCAAGGTAGCCTTCAGGTAATGAGGTGGTAGCGGGCAGAGGCGGGTGTGGTTCCTCGCAGTTTGGCAGTGGACGCGGAGTGGGTAGGTGCGTGGTGTCGAGGTCGGGAGGAATGCCAACCAGCCAGATAGGGACAGGTTTGAGTTTCAGAGGCCCTGTGAAGGGTGGAAATGGTGCCCTGTTGCAAGTCACAAGTCACTCTGGGCAGGAGACAGAGAGAGTGTGTCCAATGTGTGTGTGCGCGGGAGAGAGTGAGATGCGTGGGTGCTGGATGCGAGAAGCTGTGGGGGAAGAGTGTCAGAGCTATGTACCTCTGTAGCCGGGAGGTTAGAGATGGTACCTGTGGCCGATGATGTTCCTGGATCAGATTGGCTAAGAGGTTGCTGCGATAGGTCCCTTCTTTTTTTCTCCCCCTAGTCCTCTCTCTGGAAAGAACTTGGCTGCGGCGCAGAGTTGTTGAGTGAGAGTGGGTACATCTATCGACCCCGACTAACCGCTGTAAAAATAAAAGATACTTTATTCGGCCCAGTATCTTACGCGACACGAGGGGCTGAGGCCGAAGGGGGACTGCTAGATCGAGTTTTGGTCTGGCCAGTGGGCGGAGGACACTAGTAGGTTAGGTACCTTACAGTGTAGGTACCGTAGTGGATGGTGGAGTACGGGGAACGGCGTCGGCGACGGACCACGAGTGACAACGACCAGGACAGACTGTCCACTTTTGGGAGGGACAGCAGAAGCTCAGCCTGCTGCTGCAAGCTGCTGTGGGTAACGGAGGAGGTACCTCTAGATTGATTGACCGTGTGGCAGGTCGCTGGCCGCGGGTGATGTGATGAGGCGAGGCAAAGGCGAGGTGGTGTGTTTTAGCGTGCTGCAGGTTGCAGGGCACTACTGACGACCGACAGGGCAGCGCGGGCAGCTGTGACAGTCAGCACAAGACTGAAGAACGAGGCACAAGAACGCTGCTGATGGTGATGTGTTTCTTGTTCCTCTCCTGCCTCTGCCACACAAGTCAGTCACTCGATTGATGCTTGCTGGTGGTCGTTGGAACTGCAAACTGTCCGTTCCGCTCCCGTGCCTACCTACACTAAGGTACGAACACCGTGGGCGATGATGCCTGTATCCCGTCTGTGCATGGAATTGTACGCAGCCTGTACAGATGCTCGACGGATGACGGTCGGAATCAGGAGGATGGAACACCCCTCGCATGCGATTTTGGACGGAAAGCCATTTTCCTGACACAGACAAATTCTGCAGGGACGCCAAGTCTCTGTGCCGAGTCCTGTACCTTTTTTCGTCTCTTGTTTTTTTCAATGGCTTTCTATAGTTTGCTCAGATACCTAGGGTATTTCTGATTCTCTGCGTTTTCTCGAACCAGATCCTCTGGATATTCCACTGTATAATCTCATCCTAGATCCTCATTGGTATCCCCCAGTGACAATCACCAAACCAAGGCACGCGGATGGCCCGTTGACTGAGGTCACCATCGGCCAGGGGGGTCGGAACTGGCAATCGGTCCCTGACTTGTCCCCCTCGCCTCCCCGTACCACGACAGGGGGTGAAAGTGAACCGCCGGCTGGTGAGCGTGGGAGGTTCCGCCAGTCTCTTGGGTTCTCCGCAGGGGGCATCAAGGCATGCCCAGCTGGTTGACACTGCACGCTCTCCAATATCAGCGTTGGACGGGGGCCTGGATCTTTCTACCACTGGCTGCCCGGTCACATCCACACTGGACTTACGACGCCTACCAGCTTGTGTGTGTCTGTTAATTAGCGGGATGGCTGCTCTTTTCGGTCAGGAGAAGGAGATTTTTGACGTTCCATACGAGATCGATCCCCCGAGGCACAAGCACCCAGCATCAGGGCACAATCGGCATTTCTATTTTTCAACTCGTGCATCTGCACCAACTAGCCAAGTGGGGTCGTTGAAACAGCTTCATTACGAATGACACTGTGAAAACCCGCTTCACTCCCTCTGTGCCTTCGCTCTTGACACGACCAAACGGGCTCCTCTTTAATTAAACCACAGCCACACCCTCTAATACACATAGTGCACCTTCGTCGTCATCACCGTCGCTGCTGAACTTGTGAACGGCAAACGCTCCCACTGGAAATGTCCGTCTGCCCGGCTGTTTCTATCCGTAGATATCAGGCAGACGTTGTATGCCAACATATGACACCTGTGTTCAACAATCCAGACTCTACCCAAGTTGAGGTATCCCACAGCGCCCCCTTGAAGGAACTGAGGAATGCAGAGGCGCGACCATCGTGATCAGCCTCTAGGTATCTCACCCACGAGAGACTTCCCACCCTTCCCGGATTCCCATGCAAACCAAACAACAATGGCCACACACAGCCTCGTTGCGGATGACAGCTCGTTTGTCCTTCCACTTCTCAGCGTCCATCACTTCCACTCCCCTCCCTCGTTCAGCAGTTAATGCGGCAACGCGGCCGCCCGGGAACCGCATAACGAGAACGGTTGTCGAAACAAACTGCCATAACGTCTCCCCTCTTAACTACGGGTCACCACCACAAGGATCCCCACGCCTGCAAAAGTCGAGACCTACTCAACCAGACACAAAAGTCTATTCCACCACACACCACTTTTCCTGGCGACTCGATCCTCCTGCTAAGCAACATCGTCGCTAACTGCATTTCGTTCGCGTGGTCTTGCATTGAAATGCTCGCCAGCGCAGCAGAGAAAGCCCAAGCTTCCATTAACCCTTTTCCTCGCAGGGCTTCTCGCATCCCATCGCGCCTTCATCCCCCTGGCCGTTCCTGATCCATTGCAACCTTCAAAGTCTCTGCCCACGTTGGAATCAAAACTAAGACTTAGGATGAAGTGAACCCAGGGCCACTGCTCGTCATAGACCAATCTCCACTCCAATAATCAGGAATCGTCTTAAATTCTTTTTTGCCGAGTTGCTAAGGCGGTTCCTTATAAGCGTATTTTTGCATTTTGACTTGAAGACGACTAGTTGTATGACCGTCAAACAGATGCTGTTTTATGAGGAAGGTCGGACGAGCCCAATCGCTCGTCCTCTATCCAGCGCCTCGCCGTCCCATCTGTGGCCCGAATACCTTATTAGCACGTGACGAATTCACAAGATGCGCCAACGGGCGTCTCCTGACAAGGACATTCCCTCCAAGAATGACTCGCCATATGCAATTAGCTTGTATCGAGTATGATGTATATTCATCGTGACTACGGAATTATCGAAAAAGGCACCCCTAAGAGAAAACAGCGCAACCCGGTGATTTGGCACGTCAACATGCCTACGTCTCCAAGCAGGCACCTGCATCCCATGACTGAGTCTAACTCTCATGGAGCACATGCCAGAGAAGCATCGTCAAATATAGGGTCTGTCTACCTCTGGTGTCACAAAGGAGGGTCGTTGCCTTGCTGGGTAGGCCTTTTGACCACCTCACGATCGACTTGCCGCTGTACAAGAACATCGCCCACCGTCCAGGTTGTCCCACCATTTTTCACCCGCCTTATACGCCTGAAATCCACCAACATCGCCAGATAGTAGACGGGGTATCGAGAAGATTGAAGGAATACTGTATGAAGAGCGCATCGTCCATTCAACATGCCAGGATTTAAGTCGGCACCTTTTGTTGCGAATTGTAAAAAAGCTATGGGTCAGTACAAAAATCATAAGTACCCTACCTGGGTTTGATGCAGACTTCAATGAGTCCATCATTTTCCTGGAGATTTGTCTGTTTGGACTGTCCAGTTGTCCATTTTGTTGTATCGTTACGCCGAGAATTCGCCGATTGCATCACCTGCACAACGCGCAAAGCCTGCCAGCCCTAGATCCGGATAATATGCAAAAGCATACCATGGGAAGTTAGTGGAAGGATGTACGAAGTTCAAGAGCGACGACGCTTGACGTCTGCGACGTTGTTAGTTTCCCAACATATATTCAGTCTTCTGCCGGCTTGCAGCGTACCTTTCTCAGCTTCATCATCCAGCAGGTCGTCCACATCCGACCGGGGGCGTTTGCCCACGACCGCAGGGGACTCCAGAACTTCGTCATCGCCTTGCCCAGGGAACTCTCTCCAGTCAATCTCCTCCAACTCGTCGTCCTGACCTTCAACGTCGGCCCCGTCGTTCTCGTTGATGTCGTTCTCGCCCACGTCGGCGTTCATATCGAGCTCGTTGTTTTCGTACGTGACTTCATCGCCGTTCAAGGTTGAAGTTGCGCTGGTGTTAGGGGTTACCTTGTTCGTCGCATTTCCATCGGTAGCCTCGATAATTTGGTCTACGAGGGCTGCGCTGTCTTCGTCATTCGGCCACTGCGGATCGTTCTCAACGGCGTTGAGAAGGACCACTTCGTCTTCCGCATCCGTATTGACAAGTGGGTTAGAGTCGTTGATTTCTGGTACTTGGAATGAATCGTCAGCGTTTGTTGTTGAAGAAAATGCCATGCTAACATCCGAACGAGAATGTAAATGGCGAATCTGAGAGCTGGGAAAGCGCTCAATGGGAACTTCCAGAAAAGGAACATGGAATTGTGTTGACTGGTGATTTTGAGCAGTCTGCCTTGTATTCCGCACCAGAGATGCGTAGGCGTAGTCGTTATCTGCCATGTCATCTGTGGTGTAGGTTGAGGCACACTCAACGCAGAGACAGAATTGGGGATAAAAGCAGGGGTCAGATAAAGAAGAGTCGGGATTACCATTTTCCCCAGATGTCCGAGGCTCTTGGTCCTCCATCACCTCTGTCATTGCGTTGCTTTCGACGACATCTGCGTCTGCGACCACCGTCGATTCATCCAACAAGTTGATGTCCGTGTCAACCATAGTCGCCTCGCCCTCTAGGTCTTCAACAACGGCGGTAAGCTCTGCGTCAAAGGCGCTCTCATCAATTGTATCGTCGACCTTCGTGGCATCATCGTCTTCGTCAGCAATACCAGTCCCAACGTCGTCATCTTCGTTGGCTGCTTCTTCCAAGGCGCTAGGAACATCTTCACCTAGGTCTTGAGCTTGAGCATCGTCCTGGTCGTCATGCTTGCTTTCGGCAGGTGAGTCAGGCCAATCGGTGGCATCCGCGTTGTCATCTTCTCCAACCATGCCCAATTCATCGTCCAGTATCTCTGGCTCCGCCATTTCGCTTTGTGCCTGAGATGCGAAGTAATAGCTCACCTCGTCAAGTCCCTTGCCATTGTAGGCATCATCGACGAGAGATAGCCACCTCTTCTTGCAGTTTGGCCGTGTGACTAGCAAGGCATACAACGGCTTTGACGCATCGGCATCCTGGTTCTTGACCAGAGAATCAAACACGGAAATGACTTGACCCAAGGTGATATCAGAGATCAAATCTGGCTGGGTAGACTTAGAATCTGTTAGTAACGTCCCAGCGAATCTCCCCATATGACAACTTACTTCGGCAAACTCAAGTCCCAGCTCGTCAATTTGGAACACCAGTTCGTCGAAGGGGCCCAGTTCGTTAGCAAGCTCACGACGGAAACCTGCAAGCACGCCTTCCATCTTGCAATGCAAAAGAGACAGATCGTCAAAGAAGCACTCCTTGCCTTCGCTGTCTGGCGAGTTGTAAAAAAAGGGATATTCAACACCCTTGTACGAAACAGTGACAGCGGGGATCTCGGTGTCATCATTTGACGGTGCATCATCGGAGTCCGGTGACTGGACGTTCGCAAGCAGCTCATCTTCATAATCCATGCGATCATGGATTGAAGTGTCTTCGCCAGTCGCCGTGTACTCTTCTGCATCATTTGCCTGGCCATTAAGGTCTTGGTTGTGGGCATCATCTTCCTCTTCTTCTTCGATCGCAACAACACTATCTTCTGCTTCATGCGTAGAGAACGATCCGTCATTTTCATCAATGACACGATCCGTATCTTCGTGGTCTGAATGTGTGCTTCTGACGTCCTCCTGATCGAGAACGTTGATTTCCGGTTGCATCTCGACGGCTGTGCCCATGGATACATCCACAGCGGCGTTGCTGTCATCGAAGTAGTCTATCTCGTGCAAATCACCATCCGCGTCGGCGCCTTGGAGGTCAGAAATCTGCTCTTGCGAAAGTGGCTCGGCATCTGCTCCACTAATTTCTGGGGCGTTATCATGAACGTTCTCAGCATTGCCAGTGAACTCGTGGGCATCTTCTTTATCTCCTTGTGGCTTCTCTTCAATGTCCGCTATGCCTTTGGGCAGGTCCGATTCTTCCTCGGCCAAGTGTATATCATCGTCAACAAGCTGCCAGTCGCTCTTTTCGGCGTCAAGGTGGGCATCGCTTGCGTCTCCAACTTGGTCGTCATTGCCATCTTCCCAGCTGATTTCGTTGTCGTTGAATGAAACGTCTTCAATATCCTGAGGCGCTTGGTTGGCCATGGTGACACTCTCGGAGTTGCCTGCTTCAACCATATCTTGACCACTGCCATCCGGCAGGGTATCGCTGGCCACTGCAGTAACCTCCGCTGCCTGCAAATCGATAGATTGGCCGTCTATTTGTACGGATGCTGCCGCCTCCTCGTAATTTTCAGTGACAAGATGGGCGTTGGCCGAAAATGAGGTGCGGTTGGAGTTCTGGGCTGCAACGGCAGGGGCGGCTGCGTCATCTTCGGAATAATCGATGTACTCCTCATGACCTTGAGCTTCGAAGCTCGGTGGTGGCACTGCTTCTGCCGCCATGTCCTGGGGTTGGTTGGGATAACAATTCACTTGGAAACTTCTATCGTAGTAAACAAGTTGAGGGTTCTCGAGAGGAATCAGGAAGGGATTTGGCGCGCCGGTGGTGGTCGGTAATGTTGGGGGTTCGTGGCTCGGATACCCGGTCAAGCTTGGGGAACTCCAGCAGAGTAACTGGGAGAGGTGCGTCGGCTGGAAGTGTGTCAAAGATTGAGAAGGTGAATTTGTTTGGGTAGAAGTTCGAAAATGTGTTTGGTGAGGCCAACTATTTAGTCATGCCCTTGGACAGAGGGATGGAATGAACAAAGAGTGGTTGGTGGATGGCAAGTGAGGCCAAGCAGGATGACAAAGTGGAGTACAACTGAGGCGCGTGGAAATTTAGAAATGGCCTGGGCGACACCCCTCTACGTTCCTTAAGCGCAGCTTGACGCGCCTGTAGCTGGAGCTTGAGCCTTTCCCCTTCAGGACTAGACCGGGCCGCTGTACGTAAGGCCAGATTGGTCCGTGCACTGGCCAGATTCACACATTCGGACCTCAATATTCAAGCTCCCTACGTCGATGTGGTCCCGTCCCTCCTTAGGCCTGGGACCTTGAGTTGAAGTTGCGACAACCTATCTACATCACCAATTCGTCCAACCAACAGTCACAACACTCCACCCAAAATGGTGCTTGGTTTTCCCCATCTAAGCTGTTCAATGCTTCTCGATACTGACTGTCCTAGGTTGTTCTTGCGGCGTCGATCTGTACCCGGGGCGGGAAAGCTGTCCTCTCCCGCCAGTTCAGGGAGATGCCACGATCCCGCATCGAAGCCCTCCTCGCGTCCTTCCCCAAGCTGGCCGACAGTGGTACCCAGCACACCACCGTTGAGCAGGACAATGTGCGCTTTGTCTACCAGCCGCTCGATGAGCTCTACATGGTCCTCATTACCAACCGACAATCGAACATCCTCCAGGACATCGACTCCCTCCACCTGTTCGCGCAGGTTGTCACCAGCACATGCAAGAGCCTCGACGAGAGGGAGATTGTCAAGAATGCCTACGAACTTCTCAGCGCCTTTGACGAGCTGGTGACCCTCGGTTACCGGGAGAACCTGACCATCAGCCAGATCAAGACCTTCCTTGAGATGGAGTCTCACGAAGAGCGGATCCAGGAGATCATTGCGAGAGTCAGTCAGCTCAGCTGCCGAAATAACCAGCAGATAGCTAACAGATCCTGCAGAACAAAGAGCTCGAGGCCACCGAGGAGCGCAAGCGCAAGGCCAAGCAACTGGAGATGCAGCGCAAGGAGTCGGCTCGCGCCGGCCGCGTCGGCGGTGGAATGCCCAGAACGCCCGTATACCCGACCTACACCCCCCCTACTCGCCCGACCACGACGGACACATACGATTCGTACGAGGCCGAGAAGAACAAGACCTTCAACAAGTGAGTATCCGAGCTGCAGGATCGGATAGTGGTAAACTGTAGCTGACGTTGGCAGGCTGAGTGCCCCCAAGGGCAAGGGTATGCAGTTGGGCAAGAAGTCCAAGACGACCGACATGTTCGAGCGTGTCCGTGGCGAGATGGGCGCCGAAGTTGACGACACGCCCCTTATTACTCCGGCGCCCGCCCACGCCTCGGAGCCAGCAGCCGAAGCCCGTGTCTCCTCAACTTTGGATCGTGACGCGATTCACATCGTCGTCAACGAAGCCATCAGCGCCAAGCTGTCACGAGAGGGTGCTCTGAACTCTTTGGCGATCAGCGGTGACCTTAACCTTCGCATCTCCGACCCAAGCTTGACCAAGGTCAAGTTAAACTTGACAGCAAACCCTTCCCACGGTGCCCAGTTCCGTACGCATCCCAACGTTGACAAGAACCTGTTCAACAGCTCCAAGGTTATTCAGATGAGCAACACTGCTCGTGGTTTCCCCACCAACCAGTCGGTGGGTGTTCTCCGCTGGAGAGCAACGGCCAAGGCGGACGATACCAGCGCTTGCCCAATTACTTTCACTGTCTGGATCAACAAGGATGCAGACAAGTACAACATGACAGTGGAGTACGAGTTGACAGGCGGCGACACGCTCAAGGATGTTAGCGTCATTATCCCGTACCAGGCCAGCGAGCCTGTGGTGTCGAGCTTCGACGCTTCATACGAGGTTTCCGGTGACTCTCTGGAGTGGAACATCGGCACTGTGTCAGAAGATAACCCAAGCGGATCGTTCGAGTTCGAGGCTGAGACGAACGACGAGAATGACTTCTTCCCCATGACGGTCAGGTTCTCGAAGACGACGCCCTTCGTGGATGTTGATGTAAGTGATCGTATCTTGACGTTGGGAGAGCCAGCAGCAGCTAACAAATAAAATAGGTCCTTGGCGTATCTTTGCTCGAGGAGGATGAGGAAGTGACCTTCTCTAAGGATATCAAGTCCCATGCAGACAATTTCTTGATTGAGTAAAAGGGGCAGGCTACTCTGGACAGGTGTGCAGTGGTCAGGGGTTCTAAAAGTTGAGCGCCAAACCAGGAGTTTCCGAGCAGCGGTTTGACTTGTTAGACAATATTTGCCATAATACGTGGCTGCATGATATGAAACGTACTTAGAATACAGGATGTGAAGCTCCTGAGAGAATAAGCTGTCTGATGCTATGCTTTTATTGATATCAATGTCGTGCAATAACCAGGTTGTCAGTGTCCTGGTGAGGGTTGTTATGCAAATGTGGTTGAGCTGCAATTAAGGTAAACGGTCACGGTGCAGCAGGTACAGCGTCTTCGGCCCCCGCCATTTTAGGGAGCCACAGCTACAGACCCTCACACCTTCCAGTGCCTTAGGTACGGAACTTAACATAAGTACCTACCTTACTATTCCTACCACCCAAGCTGCTCACAGCTGCAGCTGCATACAACGAACCTCAGAAAACGAGGTGACATGCCACAATTTACTAATCTGGCTGTTTAGATCCGCCTGAATACATCAACCCAGCAACTCACGGAGATCAAAATTCGATTGTGCATCTCACCCTCCTGTCATTTGACCTCAGAACCTTCTTGCAGGGCCCAGACATGGTTATGTCTGCTGGCTGCTCTTTGCCTTTATCACGAACAGCTTCGTGTTTGCGCCATGGCTGAAACAATGCAGCTTCGACCCTTCAGCGAGACCAGATTTGACCACCGCGTCATCGATGGCTTCCCTACCAGCAATCCGACGGTGGACCTATCGGTCAGCTGGGACTCGTCTGGGAAGAACCTCCTCATATATCGGCCCAAGGACCAGGTCGTCTCCAAGATACACCAGTTCGCAAAGCCCGGCGAGACAGCACCAGAGCCCCAGGCAGTGAGATGGAAGCCTGATGGTGAGTTGACTTTGAACGAGACATATTTGCATACTTCTGACGACAAGGCAGGTCAATTTTTGGCGGTAGGCTGGAGTGACGGTTATGTGAGACTGATGGGTCTTGAGAACAACAAAGCTGCCCACCACATTCGCGTTGGCGGTGATTCGGACTCCGCCACAACGATCACTCACATCGGCTGGTCACGCAACGTCGTCGGAAAGCAACGAGCTCAACACCAGCCAGCTGACGCGCAACCATGGAAGAAACTCATAACTGAGGAGCTGGACCTGCCGGGGAAGCAAGACCCGTCAGACCTGCCTCGAGAACTAACCTTTCTGGAAGTCGATTCGGCTCTACCCAAGATTAGTCCTCTTCCTACGTCTAGCGCTGGATCTGGGTGCGTCCGCTCGCTTTGCTTGTTTTAAACATACTGACCCTGATATAGCGAGGACAGCCTCGTTTTCACGGTACGAACGGGTGTCGAGTTTCTGTTCCAGCCCTTCAACGTCGACGACAGCGATCAGGTTTTCGTGATGGTCGTTGGAACTAGCGACGGCCGTCTTCACCTTAGCATATACGACTCATTTATCATCGGCGACTTCCGGTATACTCTTCCGAGTTCCATGTACAAGCCGGGCGTGCTGCAGCTCATCCAGCACGCCTCTCATCCACAGATTTCTACACACTCGCTTATCCTAAAGTCTTCTGTAGATGGCGATCCGGCAGTCTATCTGGTCCCAATGGACTTGCCATTCGTTCCTTCGTCTCCCATCAACATCTCTCTTTTGGCGTCCAAACTAACAACTCTGCAAAAGCTGCTGCGGTACGTAAAGCAAGCGCAGCTACACATGCAGGTTGAGTACAAGAATACGCGCGAGCTTCCCACGAGGTTTCTGCGCAGTGTTGAGGGAGACTTAGAGCAGGCCACGCATGGTCCGACGAACATCGTCCAGGCTCTGTTCCACACACTTGTCACCGGTCACGCGTACGAGCCTGTTCGAGAATGGCTCGTCGACAGTCTTGCCGAGCGCGTAAGTTCTCCACATTGTGCATAGGGCCGCGATACTGACACATTCTAGGGCCATAAACGATGGGACAAAGCCGTAACCTCTGGGCTAGAAAACCTCCGGTGTCTTTTGCACGAGAATCTCCTGCCCGTACTGGAGAGATGTGCGATCATACTTAGCCGCCTTCGAGGACTGGCCCAGTTCTACGATACCCGCGATGACATTGGCTTTTCAGTCGCCCAAATCAACCGGGCTATGGATATTGTATCCTGTCTTAACATAGTCGGCCACAAGATCCTCCTCAACGTCATGGATGAGCTTGATCTCTTCAATGCTTTCTCTTCGTGGATGCGCTTCCAGATTGACCGTCTGGCCGCGTCGAGCTCTTTCAGCGATGAACTGACAGAGAAGGAAGCAACCATGGAAAACAGCAAAGTTCTCGCATACATACAACGTTACTTGATTGAAAGCCCTATGGCTATCTTTCTCGACGAAGTGACCAAAGAGGACTACGCGAGCAACTGGGAACGTGCCGAAAGCGGAGCTTCAATGCTTGATGAACTTACGACGCAACTTGCTCGTCAGGAAGAGGGCCATGCATACCTCAAAGCCTTTCCGAATGTCAGCTTCCTCGTCGACTGTCTGACCTCTCGTTCCAGTGGAATATTCGGCGATATTGCCGAGGCACAGAAAAGGAGCGTTCGCTTCGGACAACCAACCAAGGTCGTGCTGGGCAGCAAGGTCGCCAAGTTGGACTCTGCGATGTACCATACGAAGACAGAGGTAAAATTGGCGAAGAAAGACAAGCCTTTGGAGACTAGCGACTAACTTCTCATAGGGCGGCGTCAATGGACTATCCTTCCTGGCTACTATGGCAGAGGGCCGGGATCAAGAGTGTGAGTTTGCTTTCCTGCAACAGTGTGTCTATGAACATTTTCTGATTTGCAAACAGTTTATATCTTCCGCACATCTATTCGAATCATCAATGGCATCAGCAGCAACGTCGAAACGACCGTTTCAGCAGTCTCAATAGATGAGGGCAAGATCGTCGACCTCAAGTTCCTGAACGGCAACACCCTCATTCTGCTGGTCAGCAAACAAGGCAATCAATCCAACATCATCACAATCCCCATGCAATCGCAGGCTCTCAGATACATACACTATGAGGAGAGTGGCCTCCCCAGTCCCACAAGGCTATCTAGCATCATGGGACAATGTACCGCAACCGCTCTTCCTGAAGACTCGTTGTTCACGCCGGTGCAAATGGATGTCCAAGACGTCACGTCAGCGCGGGGCGAAATGCCTGTCCGCATTTGCCTCCTCGGTTCAAACCGCTCTACGTACAAGGTCTTCGCACTTGAACTCAAGCCTAGTCCTGGTGCTGTCCAGCCGGAGGCCCCCCAGCCGGTGACCCCGCGACGAGGTGGTTAGAAGACGCCCGTTACGCTGTCTCCGGGAAACATGTTCAAGGTGGCGCCAAAGAGGTTCACGCCACGGAACAAAAAGCGCATGGGTATTCTGGCATCTCGTTTGGAGTCTTCAACGCTGGACGAGTTGGCAAACATGGAATAGATTATGCACTCGAATCGATCTCAGGCAGAGCGCTCGAGGCCATAGAACTAGGAAGTGGAAGAGAAAAGCATGTTGATATTGGTTTGTGAAAAAGACGTATTATACAGCATGGCCATCCCCCCCTCTCTCCCTTCGTACCGCTTTTTGGCTTGCTCACTTTCTCGACTTGGTGATTTCGAAAAACTCAGTGACACCCTGTACCACGGCCTCCACATTCATGTTCACGAGCGGCATGCGGTCGTAGGAATCCTCCTTCATGATGGCGACGAGGGCCAAGTACCGATCGACCTCGCGCAGCATGATGGGGCGCTGTGAGTCGTGGAGCACCATGCAGCTCTCGGCCCAGTTGCATGCGACCTGGTCCTCGACTTTGGCGTTCCACGGTTCCGCCTCGAGACGTTTGCGCTGGCCCTCGGAGCGCGGCCAGGAGCCGTACACCTCGGTGATGTCGATGATGACGTCAATGTAGTCGGAGCAGATCTCGTAGCTGGCCATGTCGGCCGTCGCCGAGTCCGTGGCGATGTAGATCTTGGACAGCACGTCGAACAGGTACGCCTTCTCGAAGCGGCACGTGCGGCACAGGTTGGTAAGCATGGCCTCCAGGGTGCCGAGCTGCGGGATGAGCTTCTGGATGACCTTGGAGAAGGCCTCGAAGATGGAGTGGTTGTAGATGGACGTCAGGTGGAAGGTGACAGGGGCGTTCTCGAAGCCGTGGTCCGAGAGCTCGTCCTGGATGCGGATGGTGATGTCGCGCTGGATGTCGAGCTTGTAGTCGTCCGAAAGGCCGTCAACCTTGTGGATGAAGACCTCGATGTTGATGTTTGGGTAGAAGCGCTGGAGGTTGAGGACGGTGGCGTTGAGGCGGGCGACGGCCTCGAGGTAGTCGTCCTGGGCGTCGATGACCCAGATGAGGGCGCCAATCTCGCCAAAGATGGCGTCCATATCAAAGTTTGGGTTCTCGAAAAAGTCGATCTGGCCAGGAAAGTCCCAGACTTGATAGTCCATGAAGGATCTGAGGCTGTTAGTGGGAGGGGCAAGCTGGAGGCGAGAATGATCGAGGGGTTTCTTACGCCATAGAGTCCTTTTGGATACGCGCTGTGGACTCGAGGAAAAGCGTTTCGTTTGGTGGGAGCTTGTGGAAGACGACGCTCGATATTGACGACTTGCCACTCCTATCACCAGTCAACGCGATGCCCGCGTACGCTGTGGTCGAGGACTAGTAGACTCACCTTCTTTGGCCCATCAGGAGAAGCCTGGGCTTCCCCTTTCCTGGAGGCCCCGGGGGACCTTCTAGCGGCTTGTTCGCATCTTTCGCCTGTGCTCCTTGAAGACTCTGATCGTAGACACGTTGGAGCGTTAGCCTTGCTGGACTGAGACTACCACTTGTTCGGGGATGCTCTCGTTGGGGAAAGAAGCCTATGCCGTCGACCGCTTGGGACAGCAATGAAGCAATGGAATCGGGCGATGTAGACGAAGCCATCCTGAACGACATGCGCGGCGTCCTTTGCTATGCGATTCGCCGATTCACACACTGTTGGGATGAAAGGGCTTCTTTCTAGTATCGCTCAATATTTCTTCCACGTCCTCGATCGCTGTTTGCCAGTGTCTCGGGAAGTTTGATGCCACAGACCGGCAGAGCCCATATGTTTGCACGGGTTCCTAGCGGAAAGACCAACCGGGAGCCCGACGACGGTCCGTGGCGGGACAAGTGATCAGACTGCCACCGAACGACGACGCCGGGCAATCCTCAGGGTCATCAAATTCATCCGTCGTCCCTCAAGGCAGGGTAGCCCCCTCGAATGCGACCACCCTGACGGATGCGCGCAGCTGAAAGGAAACCCCGACTCGAGGCTTGGGCATCTTCGTAAACCGAGGAAAAAGAAAGATGAGCCATCTGCATTCGAGAGATGCTCGCCTGCTCAAACCGCGCAAGCCCCCTTCTCGAGTTCAACCCCAGTCATGGACTCGAAGCGCTGCGCGTGCTGATCTCACCGTCGCACAACGCCACATCATCCACGACACCATGGCTCAGCCAACCCGCTTCATCTGGCGAGGCCAGGTGGACGATCGGGGGGTTAAGTACAGGAGCGGGGGAAAAGGTACCGTTGGACAACAGAATCCCAGTCCATTTTCGACCGTTATCCATTCATGACTTGAGAGGAAGATGTCCTCCAAATACGCAGACCAGGACGCCTTGTCGTGCGACACGTTCCCCTCTGAAAGCCGTGTGAAGTTAAGAGAAGCCGTCTTCAGTCATGGACATCCAACCCACGCAAAATTACAGAAAGTAAGACTCTACAAGCAGCTCGCCTAGCCGAACAGGGGGGAGGAAGAGGATGCGAGGAAGGATGCAGCAGTAGACGTGACGACAGACGGTAAACATTAAGAAATACGACCGATTCTCACCTCCATTTTTCCCCTTGCCTGAGCCTCAATCTGCGGCTGAAAGGGGTGGTCGAATACGCCGCCGAGAAAAAGCTCCCCCAAGCTGACCACTTCAAACCGCAGCAGCAGCAGCGACAACTGCACCGACGCCCAGCAATCAGGCCTGCCCCGTAACCGATCGAACGAGATTGACGATCACTGATGCCCAAGTCGTTACGAGAGGACCAAAACAAAACGTTAACGTTCAAAGAGATCCGTTTCAATGCGAAAATAATAATTTCCGTCGCAGTCGAGTTGTCAAAGGACCGGCACGCACCAGCCTATCACCGATTTCGAACGGAGGCAGGTCACTAATTCGCAGATGTGGAGCGGGTAAGGTGAACGATGGGGTGAGGCAATTGGCAGTTGAGCACGAGGTGGGAAGGATGACGATGCAGCGTGCTCCGATAAGATAACGGTTCGCGGGTACTGCAGACGGGACCCATTTAATTTAGGCGAGACCGCATCCTTGCTCCTTCATCTGACTACGACCTGCCACCCAAACCACCAACCAGCGCCTTCATCCTGTCATCAGCATTAGTGCTTGCCTGTCCTCTGTCACGTTGTCACTGCATTTTCATGTTTCTGATTTGGGCAACATCGTTGTACAATCATTCAGCCAGCCCATCATGGAAATATGACAGAACCAACGGGGAACCGGTCGTTTTAATCGGACCAAGATGTACGAATACTCGTGTAGCGATCAATGAATTGAGGCTCTACACTTGCTCCTACTCATGCTTCCAAGTATTAGACAATACAGATACCATTACAGAATAAGCGCGCCTAGACTATGACCGAAGGCCGCCCCAGGCAGGCTGGTATGCAAAACTCCCTCTCCCAGTTTTTACGATGCAGTGCTCCGTTGCTTCCGACCTTCCAATCTAAACCACTGCCTTAAGCCCGACAATGAGTGCGACACAAAGGAAATTATAGTTAAGAACGTTGTGAGTCCGTCTAGGAAACAGTCGGCATCGGAGAGGGAGTGTTCCTGCCAGAACGCGAGAACAGCGATGTCACAAAGCTGCTCTTACGTTTCGCCGTCTTGGACTTCTTGGCAGGGGCAAGACTACTGGTGTTGGTAGGAGCCTTCTCGACCTCCTTGATGGGTGCATCCTTCTCATCGGTGGTTGTAGTAGTCGTAGTAGTGGCGTTCTGGACGTGTTGCTCAGGAATAGCAGGAATAGGGGGCGCATCGGTTGCGCTGTGAGGAGGAGTGAGCTCATTAGGAGGGGGCATCACAGAGTCTCTTCTTGGTGCGACCGACTCTCTCCTAAAGTCAAAGATGGATCCCTTCCTAGGGCCGGCAATGGAGCCATGACGAAGAGCAGAGACAGACTGCATCAAGTTAGTGATCCGTTCTCTTTGTTTGCGAATCCCTGGTGTCTTACCTTGGCACTGATACTCTTACGGTTGCGTGCGCGGCGCTCAGCAATGGTTTCCTCCTCTTCGCCAGTCATCTCGGCAATATGGGCAGCCACGGTCTTGCTGTTGACAGCCATGTTCTCTGCAGGGACGTCGATAAATTTGACGAATCCGCGGACGGGCGAAACGCCAATGGCTTCTTGCAAGTGCTTCTGAAGCAGGGCGGCATTCCTCTTGTTCTTAGTCACACCAACCTCACAGGACAAAGCATGGATTGTCATCGTGTAGGCAGGGTCAAAAGTTCCGCCAAACAACATGCAAGCACCATGTTGCAGGTTCACCACGATGGAAGACACTGGCCGCTGATACCGAACAGAGAGCTGGTATGAAAAGTCCGTGATGAAACTAAATTCATCACTGATCTGGGAGGGAGTCAGTCGCGGATGGTAAGACATCGGCAAGTCGAAACACATACGATGACGTTAGTGCGGAGCTCAGCCATGACAATAGCTTCGCTGTAAGCACGATCCTTGAGGACGTTGATGTCTCTGTCACCTTGGAAAGCCTCTTCATAGTAAGAGCTGCGGCGTTTGGCCAAGTCGGTTTGGTTCTTAGACTTCCTGTTGTTACGAACGTCGCCGGGCAAGGAGTGGTTGACGTCTCGTGTTCCTTCGCCGGCCTCGACAATAGGGGTCGGCGCGGTAGATGGCCGGCGACTCATCCTCCTCTCGGCAAAAGACATTCCGGCGCCTGCTGCGATGGAGACGCGTCTGTTGTTGTTGTCGGGAGTAACTGGCGTGGAGTTGACCTTTTCGTTGATGCTGCCGGTCGTGGTGGATTCCTGCGGGGAAGAGGGCGGAGACAGAGCCATTTTCTGGGACGATTGGGAGGGTCGAAGCTGAGATAAAAGGCGGCTGCAGGTGCGTGTGCTTGGAGCTCGTGGGGGATGTATCAGACGTGGTCGTTTGGGAGCGGCGTCTTACTAGCAGCGGCCGTGTTAGTCTCAACCCACCACCCAAAAGCCTATCTAGCTTGACACGTACCGAAAGAGGCGCCGGCCGAGATATCGTTCAAGCAATGCTAACAACCGCGTTGGTCATCAACTAGGGGCCCCTTGGACTTGGCGCAATATCTTCAGCTGTCAAGCTGCAATGGGAGATAGGTCGTGCGCTGGCGAATAGCAGAGTTCGTCGAATTCGCGGTGGCAAGGTCCAGAAACAGACGTTGCGATGAGGAAGGAAGGAGCAAGTCGTTGGATGCGAAGATGCAGCCACTGAATCAACCGAGTGCCGATCGTGTGGTCTCGTGATGCACAAGACGTGGACGGCGGTGGATATTGTTTGGTGGTGATGAGTTCCGAGGGTTCAGCGGGAAACAAACAACTGGACGAACGAACAAAAAAGCTGGTGTGACGGTGCGGTGACTGAAGGAGACTATTATATCAGGACGAGGACAAGAGATGCGAGGGCTGGAGCTAGATCTAGATGGAATAGTGCACCACCGCAAAGAGCTACGACGGCCGCGAGTCGTTGGGACGGAATCGAAACAAGAGGCGGATAGCCACTCAGAACCGCGAGATGACTGTCGAAAACGGAAACAGCCAAGGCTCGATGCACGCACCTAGGTAGGTCTTTCTTCCCACGCTCGACGAGCCCGGTTTCAATGCAAGACAAGACAGGTCGATCAGGTTGAACGGAAGGAGGAAAGAGGGAGAAGGAAAGCGGTTTGGGCTGGGCTGAACAGGACAGGACGGGCTTACCTCACCTGCCTCATCTTTGGTGTTGGTACTGGTCCCTGGGTTTGCCTCTGCCTCGTGTCCTTGGACGACCAAGGTAGAGTCTCAAACCTCAATCCACGCCGTGCGCTAACGAGCCATATCATTCTTTGATCCCCTCACCAGGCAACTATGTTAAGGAAGGATAGGGCATCGCTCCCGCCGGGGGACGTCCCTCAGGTCGATGGATCCAATGGGATCTGGGGGCATCGCCGTATTACCCAACTCCCTGCGCCTGGACTGTTCTGTGCTTGTTGCCAGGGTTCCTCCGTTGATTGCGACTGTGAGGTTCCCTCGACTGTGTCTGTGGCATGCGGTAGCGACCGAGCCCATAAGCAACTATCCTTCGCCTTGGAGACGGGAGTTCCTGAGGCTGTTTCTGCAGTGTCCAGATGTATGCGGCCGAAACTCTGCGACAAGATAGATTTTTCTGAGATTCCGCAGGACTGGAGCGATGCCGCCTCCTCAACCAAAGTGGCATGAATAGCATTGGAGACATCGTCGAGGGCAGTCCAGCACGCTAGTATGTGACTAGGCATCGGGATGACAGGGTCCAGGACCATCGTGTCGCCCTTGGAATGCATGGCGGGAACCCCATTTGAGCTACTTCTCTTTGTCGTCGGTCGGGCATCAGGTAGAATGGAAGAATAGGAGAGTCATGGAGGGTCAACGGCACGCCGCACACCAGCACACCAGCTACTCGGCCAGCCGCATGATGGACGGGCGTGGCACACAGGCAACGCAGCTGGCATGCCTGGCATGCCTGGGAAGCATTGTTTGCTGTTTTCGCGTGGTTTGCAGTGAGATATGCCGTATCTTAGAAACAGGGCAATCCTTGGACCCTTTGCTCCGTCTGCCTGTCTCTTCAATTCTGGGACCATGTTTGGCACTGGCGCGGTAGCAAGCGCATAGGTAGT